GCAGTGGTTCCTATTTTGATTAATAAAGATGTGCCTGAGCCTAGTTAAAGTGATTTAAAATTAATAGTCCAAAACCGCAATTACTTTTGCACCAACCTTATATATAAATTTTGGTTTCTGTGTCTATTTCTGTAGGAAACATACCAAGCAGAATAAATGAATGACTACTAGGTTAAGGATTGTGAATATTTTTAATGTACACGATAAATCTTATCAAATTGCTAGCAGGGCTCTCCTGTCAGTTTTACTGCAAATCCTTTCCCCAATGTATTAATCCTCTATTAATTCAGAGGCAGGACAGACACAAAAACATGGTTAATACAGATTGAATTATTTATTATTTTTAGAGATAGATGTCTTGCTGTCATTCAGGCTGGAATGCAGTGGCATTATCACACCTCACTGCAGCCTCAAATTCCTGGGCTCAAGCCACCCTCCTACCTCAGCCTCTCTAAGGCTACAGGCAACACACCATCATGCCTGGCTAATTTTTATTTTTTGTAGAGATGTGGGTCTCTCTCTGTTGCCCGGGCTGGTCTCAAATTCCTGGTTTCAAGTGAACCTTCTGTCTAGGCATCCCAAAGAGCTGGAAATTGCAGGTGAGAGTCACCATGCCAGGCCCAAGTTTGAATTAATATATATATATATATATATATTTGAATGTGCCTAGAACTTTCTTTGGCAAAGGACCTTGTTTTTTTAAAGACAGGGTCCTGCTGTGTGGCCCAGGCCTAACCTGACTCCTGGGCTTGAGTGATCCTCCTACCTCAGTCTCCAAAGTAGTTGAGAGTCACAGGCATGTGCCACTGACAGTCCAGCTAGAATCTAATTCTTTTTCAATCTCCTAAGTAAAAATTCCATGACAATTTACCAACTTTTACATTTATATTTAGGCCTGTTCTGACTATTTTGTTCCATATATACATCCATTCTTGCATCAATATTATACTAAATTTAACTATTAGCTTCATACTAGAAGCTAGTCTTACACCTCAAGAGAAAGTACTTCATTATTATTTTTTCAATTTTTTCTTATTTTTTAAAAGGCAGACTTCAGAATCATTTAATCAAACTCCAAAAACAAGGCCGTTTCATGGGAATTAAGAGACAGAGATAAAGAAATATATATATACACAAAGATATAATCTTTCCATAATGAACATGAAATTTATCAAAGGTTCACATATGTTTCATGAAAAAAAAGAAAAAGTAAAAAAGAAATTTCAATTTCCTCAGACTTTAAAAATATTTCTCAGTAACAATTTACTCCATATATCCAACTAAAGTTATTCCTAGGCAGTTTCTTAGTTTTGTTAAATTTGGTAACAAAAAAATTGGTATTCATTTACTTTCTTAGTATATAAATGATTTTAAAAAATACATTTATACTTTTTATATATTTACTCTTCTATCCAGTAATATTAATAAACTCATTATTATCAAAAAAAAATTTTTTTTTTTGAGACAGAGTCTTGCTCTGTCACCCAGGTGGAAGCACAGTGGCGTGATCTTGGCTCACTGCAACCTCCACCTCCTGGGTTCACACTATTCTCCTGCCTCAGCCTCTCAAGTAGCTGGGACTACAGGTACCCGTCACCACGCAGAGCTAATTTTTTGTATTTTTAGTAGAGACAGGGTTTCACCGTGTTAGCCAGGATGGTCTTGATCTCCTGACCTCGTGATCCACCCGTCTCGGCCTCCCAAAGTGCTGGGATTACAGGTGTGAGCCACCACGCCTGGCCTAAACTCTTACTATTAATTCTAAGTTTTTCAGATGATTATTTAGGCTCTTCTAGGAATACACCCACATCATTTACAAATAATGAACATCATGCTCCTGCCCTACTTTGATAATAACTTTTATTTCTATAAAGTTTCAGCTTTTAGGAACTTAGAATCTTTAATGTATTTATTTATTTATTTATTTTTGAGATGGAGTCTCACTCTACTGCCAGGCTGGAGTGCAGTGGCATGATCTTGGCTCACTGCAACTTCTGCCTCCCAGGTTCAAGCGATACTCCTGCCTCAGTCTCCTGAGTAGCTGGGACTGCAGGTGCGCGCCACCACGCCCAGCTAATTTTTTTGTATTTTTAGTAGATACGAGGTTTCACCATGTTGGCCAGCATGGTCTCAATCTTTTGACCTCGTGATCTGCCTGCCTCAGCCTCCCAAAGTGCTGAGATTACAGGCATGAGCCTCCATGCCCGGCCAGAATCTTTAATGTATTTATTAATACACAAATACTCTACGAGAGAGTATTCTGTTTAGAATAATGACCGTATAATAATTACTCTTACGGGCCTGATACTAAACTGAGAACTTTATATACATTATTCATTCTAATGTTAGTCCTATAAAGCAGGTATTGCTATTCCCATTTTACAGATGAGGCTCAGAGACTTTTTTTTTTTTTTCTAAAGACAGAATCTCCCTCTGTCGCCCAGGCTGGAGTGCAGTGGCGCAATCTCGTCTCACTGCAACCTCTGCCTCCTGGGTTCAAGCAATTCTCCTGCCTCAGCCTCCCGAATAGCTGGGATTACAGGTGCGTGACCAGGCCCAGCTAATTTTTGTATTTTTAGTAGAAACAGAGTTTTACCATGTTGGCCAGGCTGGTCTCGAACTCCTGACCTCAGACGATCCGCCTGCCTTGGCCTCCCAAAGTGCTAGGATTACAGATGTAAGCTACCACGCCTGGCCTCAGAGATTTTTAGTAACATGATATAGTTAGTAAAGGGGACAGCTGGTTTTCAAATAAAGGTCTGTTTGATTCTCTCTATTACAGAAATCCTTTCTCCTTTCTTAATATCTCTTTGGTATTCTTGAAAAAAAAAAAAAAACAAAAAAAACAAAAGAGCCAACAAATAAAAATAATTCCTCAGAATTTATGCTAATTTTGTAGCAATATAACTTGCGCATTTGACAGCTGCTTGATTTTTAAAATCAAATATTTTCCTATGTTGCTCTTTAAGGGCAAGGTGTGTCCTGTGAATGTTTCTCACTGTTAGACTAGGGCAGAAGCTCAACAACAACAAAAAAGGCTGGTGACTAGGAATCCTCATTTCCTTCTATCCAGGACATGTAATAACAAAGACACTTTTCCTATAATCCTCTGCTAGTCAGGATGTGAACTGCTATACAATCTCCTGTTCCCGACCTTAACTATACACATGCATTAACATACACACCATAAAGATACACAAACATGATAGTCTATTTCAGCTAAGTTACACTCTTACTACACCTTAAAAGCTGTTAAAAAAGAAATAATATAAATGGAAATCTGGTACCAAGATTTCTTTATAGTATCTTATTTGACTAAATCTCCCTAATCTTTGGTGAATACCAGAAGAAAATATTTTAAATAAACAGTATAATTTATCTTTCAGATAAATGGAATTTTATTATCCTGATACACAGGTGGTAACTTATGAGGTATAATCTAATCTAGAGACAGAAGAATAAACCAAATCCATAATTTAAAAAACGGCAATTCACAGCCGGGCATGGTGGCTCATGCCTGTAATCCCAGCACTTTGGGAAGCTGAGGTGGGCGGATCACCCGACGTCAGGAGTTCAAGACTAGCCTGGCCAACATGGTGAAACCCGTCTCTACTCAAAATACAAAAATTTGCCGGGTGAGGAGGCGGGTGCCTGTAATCCCAGTTACTTGGGAGGCTGAGGCAGGGAGAATTGTTTTATTCTCCAAAAAAAAAAAAAAAAAAAAAAAAAAAGCAATTCACACTTTCCGAAATAAAACCTAAAAAGAAGTAAAATCCAAACGAAATAAGAACTTTAATAAAAGTTCTGATTTTAGTTGCAATATCTGCTATTAAAAAATTATCTAATTAAATTCAAGTTCATTACATTTATTCAGCATGTTGGTAAACAGGAACAATGAGGTGGTTTTTTATGAAAATCTGAAATATTCTGTTTGTTGCAACCTGAAAGGTTGCTTTAGCATCTAATTTACTTTGGTATTTTGATTGTCTAATATTTAAAAAACTGATTTAGAGACAAAGTTACGAAAATCACAAAGAACTTTTCAATTAAGCTGATAGTTGCAGGAGAAACTGTGGTAAAAAGATTGTCACAAAATACATTAAGATATCACAAGTGCTTTCAATTAGATCCTTTGCAAGTCACTATGAAAACCAATGGACCAGATGATTTTTCATTGACATCTAGTTTAAAAATGCACAAGGACTTTAGATGTAAAGCTGAATTTTTTTTTTTTTTTTTGAGACAGAGTTTTGTTCTGGTCACCCAGGCTGGAGTGCAGTGGCATGATCTTGGCTCACTGTAACCTCCACCTCCTGGGTTCAAGCAATTCTCCACTGCCTCAGCCTCCCGAGTAGCTTTAGGGAGGGATTACAGACACCTGCCACCACACCCAGCTAATTTTTGTATTTTTGGTAGAGACGGGGTTTCACCATGTTGGCCAGGTTGGTCTCAAACTCCTGACCTCAGGGGAGCCTCCCATCTTGGCCTCCCAAAGTGCTGGGATTACAGGTGCGAGCCACAGCACCCAGCTGTTCTTTTAAAAATTGTATGCTAATTATATAAGTCCCTTTGAAAACAATCAACTGATAATAATTTCTCACTTATTTCATTCATACCCTGCTCCCTCAACCATGTCCCACCCAACTTAATCACTTAGAATTTTAATTCTTTCCTGAACATTAGTGTTCCACCACTTTCTTGCCCTTTCCCCATCTTATAAATATGAATATAAATTTCCTAAACTTACTACTTTAAATGTATCTAACCTTTTTTATAACCATTTCTGCTGTTATCTGTACACTGTCTAGTCCTTCTTTGTCGTCCTGGGAAAACTGATCCCTGACTTGAGATCTCTCTCTTCCTCTGTAAAGACAGATGTAAAGTAACTATTTAGAAAACACGCCATTTCTTTTTGTTATCAGAAGTAGTCATACTGAAATTTTTTATGCAGACCTGAAACAATCATTGGTCATATATTCAGAAAGGTTTTATATACGTACCTGCGTTGTCTTTGCAGATACTGGAAGAGCTACTATTCTCATTACTTTGGTATAGGTGCTGAGTTCTAGTCTCTTGGGGTACAGATGATGTTTGAGTCATTCCTTCTTCTAAGGCTTGTTTTATCCAGCGCTATAATTGGAAAAGAACCAGAGAATTACCAATAATTATTTAAAACCATTTAGTAAACCTGTTTTAAATGTACATCAACTGGTGAGTGATACAATTCAACACACTAATTCAGTTACACAGTCAAGCATTTTATTGTCTTGTGTCTCAGCATATTGGAACATTGTCCTATCAATTCCTTTTAACTGACAGAATTGAGGAAAACTGGATTACATATAATGAGATCCCATCAAAAGACAAAAACCAATAAAAAATGATTACATCTTTCATACTGTTTGGGATGGTGTAAAACGGCAAGACTTAGGAAGAAATCTTAACATTTATTTAGGAGAGACTCTGATTGTATAGAATAAAACTAACACATAAAATAAGTGCCTAGAAGGAAGATAAAGATCTCTTAAAAGTTGTCTGCCCTGTGCTGGAGACAAGTGAAGAGGTAATAAAAAAGATTCATAGGAAGACTTTGGATGAGGATTAACAGCTCTTCACTACAGGTACCAAAGGTTTATCTCAAATGAAATAACCTATGGGATCCCCCCTCCAACAAGTAGTTTGGTTAAATTATGCATGAGTAATGCAAATCACAAAATGAACTTCTGTAGACATAAAAAAAGGGAAAAAGTCAAAAAGAAGACCTATCAGTCACAAGTTTTTGGTAGTAAAGATTAGAATAATAAATTGACGAGAAGTGAATTTAGGCGAGATAGTAAGCCTGCAAAGATTAGGATAGTAAGATAATGCATCCTGTGGAAGACAGAAAATTTCTTACCTGTAATTGTGTTCTCTTAAGATATACAGTTGTAGGTTGCTCACCACTCTGTGGCTCTCCTGCCCTGACATAAGACAGATCGAATTTTGATAAACATCAATTTCTGAGTAAGACCCTCCCCCAACAGGAAGAGCAAAGGTGAATTATTATAATTTATACCTTTAGAGAACATGTATTACAGGTAAGTAAATATTCTCTTCACCAAAGAAAGCAATTCTTACAGATTTTCCCTCTTAGAAACCTAGGAAATAATCCACAAAAATTTTACCAAAAAAAAAAAAAACAAAAAAAAAAAACAAAAAACTTACACCATACAAATGTCATTGTGGCTGGCCAAATGAAAGCAAAACTAATACTCTAAACATTTGGAAGGAAGAGTGAACAAGTGTATAAAAAAGAGCTCTCAATGGTAATTTGAATTCATCACATAAACATTTTAGGATACAATCAGGTCTCTGAAAAGCAAACACAAAAACAAAATCAAAAACCCCCAAGAACGAACTCTCTTAGATACAGAATATTGATGTAAAGATGAATTGTCAGAACCACACATATAAGCCTTAAAGCTTAGAAGAGAACTTAGAAGTCATCTTGTCCAAAGCACTCATTTTATAAATGGAAAAATTAGGCTCAGGAGTGAAAAATCTTTTGTTATAGCCACCTTTAAGTTTTTCTTTTCAAAGCAGAAAACAGACTCATTTGGGGTCACTGAGCTTTCCTATATGACTAATTTTTTTAATATTTCAGGGTTTAGTAGATGTACTCATAAAAGAATTTACATTCTGGATCTGATGACTACAAAAAGGGAACATAAAACCAGAACAGGAGTATTCTAGAAGAAAGATGCTACCATGGTTAGCTATGAGGTGAAACACAGCAAATACGATCAAACCTACTCCTCCAGGTTCTGTTGTATAATTTTACAATACTTCAGGACTCATATAAAAAAGGAACATGGACATTTGTTTGTATCTAACAAGATACAATTAACCTCATAGATAATAAGTTAATTTTAAATGCAGCTACTCAGCAAGTTGTTAAAATCAAAAGAACATTTCTCCCTTCTCTGAAACTCTGTATTAAAGTATATTGCAAAAGAGTTTTCTGGGAGGCTCAAAGATGGATAAATGTTTTAAAAGTCTCATTATTATGGGGAAAGAACAAGGAAGTAATACAGGTTTTGGAGTCCAAAAGCCCTGGCTTGACACTTGGCTGTGAGGCTGGGCTCAGTGGCTCATATCTGTAATCCCAGCAGAATGGGAGGCCAAGGTGGGCAGACTCCTTGAGCTCAAGAGTTTGAGATCAGCCTAGGCAACATAGCAAAACCCTGTCGCTCCAAAAAATATGAATATTAGCCAGGCATAGTGGTGTGCCTGTGGTCCCAGCTACACGGGAGGCTGAGGTAGGAGGACCACTTGAGCCCAGGAGGTCAAGGCTGCAGTGAGTCTGTGATGATGCTACTGCACTCCAGCCTGGACAACAGTGAGACCCTGTGAGCCCTCACTACCCCCCACCAAAAGAAATTCGGCTCTTGTCACTTACTAGCTGCCTCACTTTGGGCAAGTTACCAAACATTTCTGAGACAAAGCTTCTGGATGTATAAATATAGGAAAATGATTCTAATTTCATGAATAGTAAGTGAGACAATATACGTGAAGAAAGCTTATAGTACAGTACTGAACACTCAGCAGGTTTTCAACGAGTCCTGGTTCAACTAAATTTCAATGTTATGTTTGGAGATTTACAGATAATGCTCCAGTGTATAAAATGAAATATTAATATCAATGTAAAGCAGTGTTTCATTATCAGTCAGACTGGTTTTTCTAAGAAGTCTGGAGACCAAATGCCCTATACACATTGTGTTTAGAAGAGGAGTTTAGAGAGAACAAGGTAAAACACTACCGAAAGCCTTGTTGGCCACTTATAAATGTTTTTAAAATAACAGCTGAGGATCTAAAAAATGATATACTATAAAATGCTTTTTAAAACCTATGATTCAATTTAGAAACTCCAGGGATATCATAAAATGGTCTGTCAAATACTTGAATTCCTCCTCTTTTCAGAAGTAGCAAAATAATAATGATAAAAATAAAAAAAATAAACAGTGTAAGAATCTGAGTACAACTATACAGATACAACTTTAATTTGTCCTACACTGGTAAGTTTTTAACTTATGAGGCCAGGCCCTCACCTCTTTAGTGAGATACGAAACAGTGAGCCTATGACCCTATTAGAAATATACATTGTTCTAAATAATCCCATGGAGGGCTGTTTTTCTCACCTATCTGATTAACTTATATTCTGAGGGATTTTCTGAATTTTATTACAATTTTGTTGAATAATGAAAATGTTCTTAGGTTCTGCATTAGATAAGACCTCTTTAACCAATCTAAGAACTCTTCTTCACTGCCATAAAGCCAAATTCAATTCTAGCTAAGACATTCAATTTCATTGTATTTTGCCTCATAAAAAGCTGTATTTTAAAAAATAGACTCTTTATATGTGAATAGCACACAATAAAGCAATGATTTAAACTTAAACAGTTTTTAAAGACCCTATTTAAATAGTCTTGTTATGATAATCCTGTGTACGCAGCCTAAACTCTTCCTAAAGAGTTTAGGAACCTTATCTAACCATGACACATAGATAAAAGTGCTTGAGTAGAGCCTGTACAAATGAGATTAAGAATAGTCAGATACATTTGGAGAATATAACACAGATTTGTGTTAAATGGAATTTCTATCTGTTGTCTGTAGAAATTTAAGGATGTGCTATAGATAGAAGTATAAAAGCAGAACCAGGTTAAAAAAGCTTAAAGAAATCCATTTTCTAGCAGATTTGAAGTTACAGTCCTAGACACATGTTTTTGGTTTTTATAAGTCTCTGCTAGTTGGAAAAGATGGAAACAGAAAGACTGCAACCCAGCATTAGAATTATCAAGAAGGAATTTCAATTCAAGAGCCTAGTTCATATTATTTGCAGCTCAGATTTCATTACTAATCTGTACTAAATAATCACTTACACTCCTAAAAGGACTAAAATAGGAGATTGTATGACCTGGCTTGGTAAGATGCTTCAACAGTTAACATCCTTAGAAATGGTCAAATTTCTCTTTAGGAATTCTTCTACTAGGGTTTCCCCGAACAAACCAATGAGTGATTCCAATACTTAGGTAAGATATGCAGTTAGGAAAAGACTTTCTGCAATGTGCTGCTCATTCAGCAGTAGCGTCCTTCCTTTTTGCAGATTCCTATTGCCCTCCTCCCCTCCATATCCCACACCACTTTGGCTCATCTTTCATGCCCCTCTCCCCCCGAGAAATAATTTCTGTTCTTTGGCGAAAGAGAAAAGCTTTAAGTTTGGAGGAGTCAGGGAAGACCTGCCTGGAGTTGGAGACTTCATCACATCAAATAATCTATATGCAGCATCCTCATGTACGTGATGCCAGTGGAGGAGGGCAATGGCAGACACTGAGGAAGGCAGCCTGAATCCAGATCTGAGGATAAGAGAAAAGGGTGTTCCAGGGAACAGACTCTACCTCAAAGGAAGACCAAATGAAAGGGTGTCCCATACTTCTAGAAACACGGAAAACATCATCATAGATCTGAGGGAGTGATCTATTCCTAAGAGACACCTTTGGAAAATATGCAGGGCTTCTGGGAATTAAGAAAGAGCATTCCAAAACACCACCAAACGCTACTGCCACTAGATCCAAAAACAGTAAGTAATTAGAAAGAGGAGAAAGAGGCAGAAAACAGAGAGGGAGAGATAGTCTTTTAGGGTAGATTCCGTATTCTTTGGGAATAAACAGTCCGACTTGTCATTTGATCAAGGAACAGGAATTATGCCAATTACAATAGGATTTTTCCTCTAATTTCCTTCAAGTGATGATAGTGGATAATAGTGGTTCAATTGATTCAAAACACAATTTAATTACTTTTCATTTATGCAACAGTGTTCTAGAGGACCCAGGGCCTAACCTTACACAATCATCATAAATGGACATGTTAACCCATACTACAAGAGCACACACAAAATATATCCGTCCCTACCCAGTCATCCACTGCTGTGTGCTCTCCCTCAGGAACCTCAAAGGTTCTCAGAAGAGACATCAGTGACCAGTCACAAATCTGAGCACCAAAAATGCAGTATATTCATTCCACCATAGTCTCACAGACTCTTGAAGAATCAGTATTTATGGCTGAACAACTAATTCATTATAAACTCACATGGGCAGAGTGGCTATTACAGAACATGTTATTTATGTCATGATGACAGGAATCTTAGGCTTAAAAAAAAAAGCACACACACACAAAAACGCAAACATACCTTCTTACAGGAGCTGAATGTGCCATCAGGCAGAAGGGGCCTTCGACGTCTCTCAGGGACAAAGGGTGAGCCAAAGCGAATGTAGTGTTTGGGGGTGGTGCAAATTAATGGGGAATGGATAAGACCTGGTAACATGTTTAGGGTCGTTGCCAGTACAGTTGGATCCGTCGTGATACGTAAAGGGCACTCAACAGGGCACTCTTGCTTCTCTGCTTTGTCATTCAACCATTCTGTAACTAGATACTAACGTAAAAAAGAGATCATTAATTTATAAATCAACAGGTAGCAGTGTAGTTCATAAAGACAAATGTCATCTAGAAACTAGGACAGAGGGAGATGCAGCAGCTACAGTATGAATTGGGCAACCAGAACACAAGCATATCTTCCTTCACCCTCTCCACGTCCACTAAGAGAGGAATAATTTCACCTATCAGTGATTTAAGCTGACTAAAAATAAGGAAACAGGTAGTAGGATGGCTCCAGCCTTTTGTGTCAAAGCATTTTAGAACTTTCAATCTAATCATATTGAGATTAGTTTCTTCTGGGGATTATAGGTCCTCTCATTTCACTAAGACAGCCCTTGCCAGACTGGACTTATAAAAGATGTATTTGTGACTCACCTTTTTGGTTTTGGGGTATTTAGATGCAGCACGGTTGACATGGGATCCAGTAATTGACACCACAGTTGGGTCAGACCCTGTTAATGGCCTGTTTTCTCCTGAACTGTCTATACTTCCAGCTTCAGTAGGAGTTACTAAACTGTTACTTCCTCCCTCTTCTAAGGCAGCTTGTGACAATTCTGCCTGCTGTGCATTGGCCTGTTTCTGACGCTTTAGTCTTTGGGCTGAACTGGTCCTGTACCGAGAAATTCGACTCTTCGGCCGGGGCCTAGAAGGCTTTGCTGGAGGTGGCTTGGGGACTGGTTTTTCTGCAGCAATATCCTGTAGCAATAGTAGGGTCAGATGTTTACCAAAAATGTTTTATCAGCAAACAGTCTAGTTTCCTATTCACATTAAGCATTCAGAATGTCTACTGATGAAAACTATAAGGATTAGAAACACTAATTTAAAATGTAATTCTTGGCCAGGCGCTGTGGCTCACGCCTGTAATCCCAGCACTTTGGGAGGCTGAGATGGGTGGATCACGAGGTCAGGAGATCGAGATCATCCTGGCTAACATGGTGAAACTCCACCTCTACTAAAAATACAAAAAAATTAGCTGAGCGTAGTGGTGAGCGCCTGTAGTCCCAGCTACTCGGGAGGCTGAGGCAGGAGAATGGTGTCAACCCAGGAGGCGGAGCTTGCAGTGAGCCGAGATCGCATCACTGCACTCCAGCCTGGGTGACAGTGCGAGACTCCATCTCAAACCCAAGTAAAAAAAAAAAGAAAGTAATTCTTAAATGCAAAAACGTATACACTTAAACGAGCTAAAGAGGCTAGGGACAAACGTTTGGGTTATTTCTATTTCTAATAAGCATTTACAAAATAGGCCAATGAAATGGTTCCAGTTACAAAGTTAATGGCCTTATCTATTGTGATAGAGCGAAGGTGAAAAAACTGATTTTAAAAATTCCAAAAATTAGGTAATTGACATTAGCGAAGGTAAGGATGTCTAAGCTCTGAAGTCTTTTCAACTCTTACCCCTGCTTGGGAAGACCTCCGGGTATTCACACCAACACTCTGTGGGGTGCTTGGGATGGTAACATTTGAAGCAGAGTTGCTAACTTCAGATTCAGGGGCTTCAGTTTTTGTTTCTTCACCAACAGGAGTCTCTGAAGTGGTTGTAGTAATCTCTACATCAGAGTTGCTCTGTTCCAAAGGCTGATCTCGCCGCTTCTTTCTTTTCTCTAAGTTTTCAAAAGCATGCATGATGGCTTCTACTTTTCTATCTTCCCTGGTCTAGAAAGAAATAGTATTGGTGTAGAAGAAAGCTTCAAATGAGGACGAGGGGACAGCCTTTATAAAAGTATTTTTAAGGGAAATTTATAGAAATTTATTTAACTACCAGTAAGATGACACATATAACTTGGAAAACACAAGAAAAAACTAAAAATAAAATATTTCATTTTAAATGTGGGGAATAGTTGTAAATAAAGGCAAAGTCAAACATAAACTTTTCAAAAAGGGTCAATTATTTTGAAACTTTTTACTATGAAAACAGGATGAGTGCGGTGGCTCATGTCTATAATCCCAGTACTTTGGGAGGCCGAGGTGGGAAGATCAGGAGGTCAGGAGATTGAGACCGTCTTGGCCAACATGGTGAAACCCCATCTCCACTACAATACAAAAAATTAGCCAGGTACGGTGGCACATGCCTGCAATCCCAGCTACTTGGGAGGCTGAGGCAGGGGAATCGCTTGAACCTGGGAGGCAGGGGTTGCGGTGAGCTGAGATTGCACCACTGCACTCCAGCCTGGCGAAAAAGCAAGACTCGGTCTTAAAAACAAAACAAAACAAAAAACTCATCAAATCAGCGTCATAAACACACAGGATTGGTTTCAGCATAAAAGCAGAAAATTTTAGTTCATATGACTAAAAGGGTTTAAAAAAAATTCAAAACTCACATAAACCTAGAAAACTCCTCATTCAGAGCAAACCAACTATAATACATTTTGATTCTGACTAGCCAGTTTTTCGGAAACCACACTGTTATAAAAAAAAAAACCTCTTAAAACCATCACTAGAAAACTACTGTGTGTATAAAGAAAAATAAATCAAAGAATTATAATAAAATCTTTATTATGAAAAAGCCCAAATTATAACCTCCAGGTCAAATCAATGAGATGATACAAAGTTAAGAGAACAGAAGAACATGATGGAGGTAGCAGGAATAAGAAGGAGCAAAGGAATGTCACAGTACTCACCCTCCTGCTATGAGCTAGGTTCTCCTGGTCATCTATAACCTCTTCTTTCTCTTCTTCTGGTTTTTCTTCTGGATTGTCTACTTCCTTTAAGATAGAGGCAATATTCAGCTGTACTCAAGCTCTGAGAAAAAATCAATCTGTTTTATTCTGGTAGCTTAAAACTCTCTATAGCAATCTCTAATGCTTTCAAGTGTTAACTCATGTGAGGCCACATGGTAAACATAAATGATAACCCTATTCTCTGGTGCAAAACCAGCAAAGGATATTTTTGACTTTGTAAAACAGAAAGAAATGAATGAACACAATACACCCACATTGATATAAAGGGCATTAAGTGTTACTATAGCTCCCCTACTTAAACCATGTGGCAACTCAGGTTCCTCTTCCTTCAGAGGATTGATGACATAGCATCATCATTTGACCAGGGGCGATTACCTCATGATCACTGGATACAGTTACTTTTTCTGGAACTTCTTGTGATTGCTGGTCATTATTCTCCTCTGGAGCCTCATTCTGCTGCTCCATCTCTAGCTCTTTCCGTCGTGCTTTTCTACGTCTAGTCTCTGCTCCAATGGTGGGTAGGCTTGGAGGAGGTGGTGGGAGTGGCAGTTCTGTAGCATTAGGATTCCTTTTTTGTATAGGACAATTCCGGTTTCCCTTGTGACAGGCACAGTCCACTTTATAATTACTGCTCCAAAGAAACAACCAAAATGCCTGTCTCAGTACCCTTGAAATTCAGTTACATTATCCATTTACCCTCTCAAAATATCAGCACAGTAATTTCCTCTGATACGATCTCTGAATAAGTTAAACAGAAAAATTAGAGAGTCCTATACTTTTGTTTTTCTTTTTATCGAAGATGGAGTCTCACTTTGTCATCCAGGCTGGAGTGCAGTGGTGCATCACAGCTCACTGTAAACTCTGCTTCCTGGGCTCAAGTGATCCTATTACCTCAGCCTCCTGAGTAGCTGGAACTACGTGCCCAGCTAATTTTTTTTATTTTCGGCAGAGATGGGGTTTTGCCTTTTTTTCGAGGCTGGTCTCGAACTCCTGGGCTCAAGTGATCCTCGAGCCTTAGCCTCCCAAAGTGCTGGGATTACAGGTATGAGTCACCGCACCTGACGTAACACTTTCAATATTCTGTCTTTCTCTGTGTAACCCCAATTCTACTCCATGGTCAGTGGGAAAAAAAAGAAAACCCTCCCTAAATCCAGTCCCTCCAGTGGTTTATTAGCTATTTAGTAGGCAATGAATCAAGGATAAAGGCTGATGTGGCCATACTCATCTTGTGCCCACCATTACATGTCCTCACTTTTACCTAATTCCCTACTTCTTAAAACCTTTTCTTTTCATTTTCCTTGATGAATTAAGCAGAACATCTTTTTTCTTATACCTGGGCCAAACATCACGTTACCACATAACCTCTATTTTGCCCCAAATGACCAAGGAACAAAAAGCATATACTTTATAAAATCCACCACATATTCATCTATGAATTGCCATTTATGGTTTTCTGCACTGTCATATACAGCTAGATAACATGGTTTCTGTGGATAGGGTGGATCTTTAAATCCCACTCCTAGCTTTATAAGGGTATAACTGACAAATTTAAAGTAGAGATAACACATTAAATTCTATTTTTTTTTTTTTAAATGGAGTCTCCCTCTGTTGCCAGGTTGGAGTGCAGTGGCACGATCTTGGCTCACTACAGCCTCTGTCTCCCAGGTTCAAGTGATTCTCCTGCCTCAGCCTCTCGAGTGGCTGGGACTACAGGCACGTGCCACCACGCCTGGCTAATTTTTGTATTTTTAGTAGAGACAAGGTTTCATTGTTGGCCAGGATGGTCTTGAACTCCTGACCTCGTGATCCGCCCACCTCAGCCTTCCGAAGTGCTGGGATCACAGGCATGAGCCGCTGTGCCTGGCCTAAATTCCCATTTTATATGGTCCCTGACATAAGTACTCAGTGCATAACAACAGGATGCTATTGTAATTTCCAGGAGTGTCTCATACATATATATCCATTTTGCTATTCTTGCTAAAAAGGCATAAGTGAAAACACTTTTGTCAGGAAAATTGTGAGCAGTATCATATAAGGTATCCATATCTCTAAAAAAAAAAATCTTGTCTTTTCCTTTACAATTTCTAGGCAGAAAACTCATTAGTCATGGAAAGATTAAGTAAACAAAGGAAAAAGCAAGAAACAAAGCAGACTTTAGAGTGAACAGCTTAATATATAAGACAAGGACATTCATGTTAGGAAAGGTTTTTGAGATCTTACCAGTTACTATACTCATAATCAAATGCTATGGTGACCTCAGCATCCTTGGTGATGGCAGACACAGCATAGATGCACAGGTGAATCATCCCATCTGCAATCATGTGTCGCACCTGTGTGAAAAGGCATCTGGTTGGATTTTTCACAAAGACCATGAACTTTCCGTAACAGAAAAAAACCATACTTTCTCTCCATTTTAGAGTTATGGTAATCTTTATTTAACTCAATCTTTTTATCTGAAACTATTATACTGTACTGGCTTGAAAATTTATGATACTTCTTGAAATACGTGGAGAAACCTTGAGATGTTAGAAATCAGGGTAAAAATCTCTACTTTCACATCTTTTTTTTTTTTTTTGAGATGAAGTCTTGCTCTGTCGCTCAGGCTCGAGTGGAGAGGCGCGATCTTGGCTCACTGCAACCTCTGCCTCCCGGGTTCAAGCAATTCTCCTGTGTCAGCGTCTTGAGTAGCTGGGAATACAGGCACATGCCACCATGCCCAGTTGATTTTTGTATTTTTTTTTTTAAGTAGAGATGGGGTTTCACCATGTTGGCCAGGCTGGTCTCGAACTCCTGACCTTGTGATCTGCCCGCCTCAGCCTTCCAAAGTGCTGGGATTACAGGCATGAGCCACCGCGCCCAGCTGCTTTCACATCTTATAGCTGTTTCTAGCTCCACCAGAGAATTAAAATTCCTTAGCCAGTAAGTAAAGCTCTACGGATTTTCTTGCTTTATTTGATGTGGCTGCTCTGAGTAATGAATCCTAGAAATGCCTAGATTCTCTCATAGAACACTACTTACTAAAATCTAAAGAAGCTGCAACCAAATAACTTAGTTAGGCCTGATGACATCTACTTACACCGTATGGCAATTTCTTTAATACAACTACACTTGATTTTCTTATCCAGTCTAGCTTTCTCCTTAGCAAATGCTAACTTGCTCTTTTCTATTTCTGCCTTCTCTAAAGAAAATTCTTTCCTTGCTCCCATTTTCTCAGTATAAAAGCACCATTACTTTTGTTTTTCACTTCTCACAATGAAATATCACGACTATTATCTACAGACCTTTATCTGAGTGAAGTTTTCACACTGTTTCTTCAGTAAGCTTGTCATTTGATGGTTCCAGTCAAAGGGAAGTTGCTACAGATATCTTACCTCTGCATTTGGTGTACATGATCTTCTGATGAACCGAGCATCATTACCGAAAGTACGGGCATCCACACACATCTCTACACCATTGAATTTTGAGTAGAAGAGCACAAAGGGGTATGGTCTAGGGATATAATTAAAATTCCTGTAATTCTCAACACGAAAAAGAAGGCCACCCCATGACTCCAAATATGAAGCATATGCTGAGAGAAGCAGCAGCAGTCTTTTACAATGCCTAAACTTGGAAAACATCACATGCTTGTCTGCTTTTGATTAAAGAACAAGCACAAAGCAAGGAATGCTTGGCTTGGAAAGGAGTTGTCACCACTTTACACATTAAAGAATTTGCAGATTTACTTGTACTTCTCTACAAATAGCAGACAGGCGTGAGCTTATCTGAGTTGTGATTTTTTTTCTCCCGAGAGCATCCTATCAAACAGAATGATTTTTACAACACTGGTCAACCAGGTCCACCTTAGCCCTCACTGCTCAATGAATGATGTTCTTACTTTTTGAAGAAATGCCCATTGACCTCAAACTGCTGTCGTAACATGACTTTCCCACGATACTCTATTATAAGAGTGTCCAAAGCCAAATCTCTTGCAGCCCTCAGGATCTTCCGGTGCTTTTGAACACGAGTGACTCTTCCCAGCTGTAACTGAATAAAACCAGAGCAGTAACATTAAACAACAGCAAGAATACCTTAGTAGACACTCAAATTATTTCATAATTAAGGAAAACATGCTAACATTTTCAGGTTTTATCTGTATATGTTATTTAGATCAATGATGAGAAATTTTAAAATGTGATAAAAGCTCAATTTTTCTAAGAGACATGCTACATCTAGTGAAACTGCCTCCCCAGAAAAGGCAACATAAAAAAAACCAAAAAACAAAACAAAACAAAAAACCATGATTAAAATTTCAGTGACTCTATCTCTAATAAAGTTGAGAAAGAACATGCTTAACTTTCTATAAATCTTAGATAATTCCTACCTAGGTTATACAAAATTTCCCATACTAAGTCATCTTTTTTTTTTTTTTTTTTAAAAGAGACAGGGTCTCACTCAGTCACCCAGGCTGGAGTGCAGTGGTGCAGCAATCATAACTTACTATAACCTCAAATTCATTCAAGTGATCCTTCCACCTCAGCCTCCCCAGTAGCTGGGACTTACAGGTGTGTACCATCACAATGGCTAACTTTTAATTTTTTTTGTAAAGAGAGGGTCTCACTATGTTGTACAGGCTGGTCTTGAACTGCTGGCCTCAAGCAATCCTCCCACCTTGGCTTCTTGCCAAAGTGTTGTATTCTAGGAGTGAGCCACTGCACAGACTCAATTCATCTATTTTTTATTAATAAAGGTAGTTTAAAAATATGTATCCAGATAGTTTCCAGTTAATATAACCTACTTTTGGTTACATATGATCAACACCTGTCTAATCTGTTATTCTATGGCCTTGTACATTTGGAAGGAACAGTAATTCCAATCCATTACCCTCTTTCTGGGTTCTTAAAATTTCACATACTTAAGAGTCTTCAACCCTTTGGTGCTTACCTGCATTTGGGAACCAATAACTGTGTTATTACAGGCCAATTCAGTCTTATTAATAGTGTCTAAAATAGTAGGTTTGCCCACAAATTCCTTGCTAGAATGTAGGTGTTGTTCAAGGGCGTTCTGTACATCTGCACTGTACTGATTAGTGAAAGCTTCTTCATACTGGTCAGTCCATAGTCTTATCCGATTTTCCCAGCCCTCAGTTGTATTCTCATCTAAATTCTGTGCTTCAGAGGGAGAATTCTGTAGAAAACAAATTCAGGGAGGTTAGTAAAGTCCATGCATAAATAGGGGGTTGGGAATGGGGGTGGGACAAGTTGGGGTTCCAGAGAAAATCTATCACTTGGCAACTGATGTGGCATAAAAGAGTAATGGACTGGGAGTCAGAGGATCTGGTTTCTATCATGCTTTTGTTACCAATGAGAGGCGAGACCTTGAATAACTTCTTCAAATGGGGAAGCTCAGTTTCTCCATTTATAAAGTAAGAAATTAATTGGGATCATAGTTTCACACCATCACTGTGATTTTATGACCATTTTAAAGTCATAAAAATCAATTTTCTTACCAAAAGACTGACGTCAAGTTCATAAGAAAATCTTCATAAAAATGAACAGTAGAGACCTCACATTTACCACTGCTTCAATTTTTCATACTCACTCTGTGTTGGTGTTAGCCCAAACTGGTTTTCTGACTATTCTCCAGGAGAATGAATGTTTTTGTGTCACTTATTATTTTCATAATTCATGTTCTTTCTAAACCTACATGTCACCTTTATCAGCCAATCTCATCAATCCAATCATAATTTTACTGCCCATATAAAAAGTTATTATTTGAGTATATCTTTCTAACACCCTATTTTCAACATTTTAAATTACCACATTCTACATAATCTGAAGAGGTGAAGCGAGGGGAGAGGAGTAGGTAGGGAGAATACAGAAAATGTCTAAGAGGTACTTTGCTATACTCCTCTAGGAAAACCACTGCCCTCTATGGTGACAGTATTGAGAAAAGATTACAACAACTCAGGAACAGCTTCCTAGGCAGACAGTGCCTGAGCTACAAAGACAAAGCTTAAGCCCAATACATGCTCTCCTCCATGGTGTTCAAGACTTAAGTGCCATCAGAAAACAAAACAAACACTGACAGTAATGATATCATGCTAGTGATGATTAGAAGGAAAAGACACTGTAGTACCAAAGCTACTTGAAAATCCATGTCCACATTAAACTTGCAAACAGGCACAACAAAATTAAATATACTTTCCATGAATGGCACAGAAAACACGGATGCTTATCATCACACTTTCTTTTGCCACTTTTGCATCACTGCTGCTGACTGATTATTGTCTACTATCCTTTCTGCAAGGAACAGGAGTATGGAAGAAAAAAAAAAATCACTATTGTTTCCACATTTCTTACTAGAGTCCAAAAGACTGAAAAATAAACAGAGGGATCTAAAGAAACACCTAAGACCAACATACTGACAATCAGAGTATCACCTGCTTGACATCAGTAGCAGTTATGCAAAAGAATAGCGCAAAACCTTAGGCTTAACGGAGCTTACAGACTGGGGGATTGGCAGTGTTCAAACAATATTCCCAGCTTTAAGTAGCAATCATTAAACTTATGACTTGGTAAGTGTACTGTATTCTGGAAGCCTCTGTCACAGTATTTGCCATTGTTTACTAATCTCACTGTGTGTTTACTCTGCTGTTCCATCCTTCAAGGCATTAGAGACTCTACCTCAGCTGGGTTTAGAGCAGTGGTTCTCAATTGAGGGAAATTTTGCACCCAGGTGACATTTGGTAATATCTGAAGACATTTTTGATAATCTCAACTGAGTGTATGAGTGTTACCGGCATCTAGTGGGTAGACACCAGGGATTCTGTTCACATCTTGAAAGCACAGAACAGTCCCTTCCACAACACAGATTTGGTCCAAACTGTCAGCAGTGTCAAGACTGAGAAACCTTGATTTACAATTAAGTCTTCAGTAGGGAAGCTGCTCTTGACACTGGGATTAAAAATCCAAATGATTTTTTTTTTTCTAATTCTTACAGCTCCCACCTGGATCACTGGAGGAGTTTTAAACTAGTAATTCTGAGCATAAAATTTATAACTCAACTTAGAATTAAAAGACTTAAAATGACTAGTAATTGTTGTTTTTTTCTGTCTAAATTTTAACACACCTATGAGGCTGTCAACCTCCCAAAACTGAAAGCAAAATATGGGGTTTATGTGCAGTTTTCTGGTAGAGCCAGTCTATAGCTTTCAAAAGGTTTTGAGCTTCTGGAGATGAGTTATGATAGTTGCTTGATGAGAGAAAAGCATTTAGTAGCTGGGATTAGGGCTATTATCCGCCTCCAAAGTCTATTTAAAAGGCCCCTCTCTAAGCAAATGAGACAAAAATAAAGGGGCAGCTAAAGCAAACTTGACCACTTGCAGGAGACAGATCCAGCAAAGAAATGATTAATTTGTCTTCCAAGACACATCCCAGGCCTCTGATGCCAGGCCTCTGATGCTCTCCCAACACTTTCACAGGTACGTGCAAGTCTGTTTATAGATATTAAGTGAGGTCTTCGAACTTTAGGTAAAGTGCTACCTGTAATCTTTGCTAACACCAGTCACATTGGTGCCGCACATAAAGCAATCCTAAAAAAGCTTATCCTTACTGAATTTTTTTTTTTTGAGATGGAGTCTTGCTCTGTTGCCCAGGCTGGAGTGGCGTGATCTCGGCTCACTACAACCGCCGCCTCCTGGGTTCAAGTGATTCTCCTGCCTCAGCCTCCCAAGTAGCTGGGACTACAGGTGCCTGCCACCATGCCTGGCTAATTTTGATATTTTTAGTAGAGATGGGGTTTCACCATGTTGGCTGAGCTGGTCTTGAATTCCTGACCTCAGGTGATCAACTTGCCTTGGTCTTCCAAAGTGCTAGGATTACAGGTGTGAGCCACTGAGCCTGGCCTTACAAAAGATTTTAATGTTTATGTCCTATAACTCTCAATAGGAAAGAGCCTGCTTTTGTATCATTTAAGAATATGAATACTTATAAACTCGAATTTAATTCTAATTAAATGCTTTGAAGCCCTCAGTAATAATTTGGGAGGTATGTTTTCCTCCTATATATATATATACACACACATAGGTAAAGGAGGATACCAGACAGCATAATCAAATCTCCTTTTGGCAAACTGTTTTTAATCAACCAGCACCTAACAGTTCTTTTAAACCATTCCACATAATTGCTCTATTCTCCAAGTTCTTTACAAAGTCATACCTCATAAACTCTTTTATTTGATATCTTAAGAAACACGCTAGCATTATCTAAGTCTTTTCCACCAAACAGATATGCTAAGAGAAAACAGTAATTCTTATCAGTAATACAAGCTTTCTGCAATTAAAGCCCACACAGTGCTAGGGTAGATGCACAAGAGATCCTGTATCATTACCAGAAAACTCCACTCCTAAGGTTGAGTTCAATCACAGTGACAGAATATACCAGCCTCATGTTGTTTGGAAAAATGTCACTTACCCCCTACAAAAGCAATGCATGAAAAACCAATCAATGAAGGCTGATTACAGAAAGGGAAAATATTTCAGAAAATGGCCAAGAAAATCTACTTTGGAGAAAAGCTCTATGAAAACTGAATGGCAACAACTACGAACTAATGAAAAGCAGACTCCAAGATTCCCAGACCATCAATGTCAAGAAAGAAGCTGACCAAAATGCAAGATCACAGTGAAGTAAAACACAGCATCAGCGAAGATTACCCCTTACCTTCATCCGCAAGGACTTCCGGGATCCCTCTCGAAATGCCTATCCCAAGGAGGAAAACAAGTAGAACAAACAAAACTTGGTACCAAGAATGACAGTTATACCTATCTGAGACTAAAACTAAGGCACAAACTAGTGTTCTATTCTGTCCCCGTTTCTCTAGGTAAAAAATAAAATGGAATTCCCCAAACTATTATCAAGAATAGGGGTAGCTCAAGGCCAATGAACTCTGAGACTAATTTTAATACTTTCTACTGTGAAGCTAGGTAATTAACAGGGAAGAGCATGCGTCTCTTAAATCCTATATGCACTTCTGATACTAAGAGAAAAAGTAAATAAAAAAACTTTAAAGTTGCAGATTTACCAGTTTTGCAACTAAGAAGGAAACAAAGACCAATCCCCTTAACAAGGGGTGAACAAGTCACCTAGAAGCAACAAAGTTGCTGTGATGGGGAAGAAAGAACACAAACCAGAGGAAGTTTCTCCCGGAGACTTTTTAGCTGAGAATACAGGAAAGTGACCATGACACTGAGGAAGCCTAGAGCATTCAAGAGATGTTTCCTGATTTTTATTTTTTTTGAAACAAGGAAAAACAATCAACCCAAAGACATGAGGCATGTAACCAGGACAAGAATTTCAGACTGTACTTTGGGGTTGAAAGGTGGGGAGATACTGTAAGGATAGTGGAAGCCTAGACTTGAGGCTGCAACACATATGGGCTTGTGCCAGGTAGGGCTGGAATTTCATACCTGGGATGGGGGCTGGAGTAGAAGAAACTTTGAGCCAGTGGTGATGATATGGTGTGGCAGAAGAGAGGTTGGTCTACATGTATATAACACAGATTAGCTGATTTTTGCAAGTAGAACAAAAGTGGCCCTTCAAATACCTGGATCAAACTTCTTAAAAGAATTCTGGTGCATTCTTGCTCCAAAATTTGAGCTATTTCAGACACTTCTATTTATTTTTACCCTACATACCTTGATTTTCTTCGTCTTTGGTGCTGCACGACCCTTTTCTGGACTCTTTTTCCGCTTCTTGGGTTTGGTTCTTCTAACAGTTAAGGTGATGCTTGTAGGTGTGTGCTGTGTTGCTGTATACAACACAGTGGAAGGAGAAAGCTCCTCATCCCAGCTTTCTGTTGCACTGCTATCCCCACCTGAAAAACGATGATTTATTAGTTCAGGTACTAATAGCCTCAAAAGTACATTAAAAGTAGCTTATTGTTTTAGGTGTGCACCACATGCAGTAAGTCATTACTTACATTATTAACTCTCATCATCTGTAAAGCAACGTTAAGTACCCATCTTCCTTATGAAAACAAGATTCTATGTCATTGGCATTAAGCGTATAAACCCTATTCCTCATGGTATCTATTTCTCCCCTTGTATTCAGTCTCTAAGCTTCACTGACTCAATCTATAACAATTTGAGACTGGCTAATTTTTAAAAGAGGGATCCATGTTTTTGGTGTTCATTAGGAATACTTTGCTACAGGGCTAAAATGTTCCCAATACATTTCGTTTACAATGAGAGAACTATACAGTGGTCTTGAGAGGACTTCTATCTCTTTCTGTGAAAAGAGCTGACTGGGGGACCATAGGAACTTATAAGAGGGGTCTTTTTTTTTTTTTTTTTTTGAGACGGAGTTTTGCTCTTGTTGCTTAGGCTGGAGTGCAATGGCGCAATCTCGGCTCATGGCAACCTCCGCCTCCCGGGTTCAAGCGATTCTCCTGCCTCAGCCTCCTGAGTAGCTGGGATTACAGGCATGCGCCACCACATCTGGCTATTTTGGATTTTTAGTAGAGATGGGGTTTCTCCATGTTGGTCAGGCTGGTCTCAAACTCCCGACCTCAGGTGATCCACCCGCTTTGGCCTCCCAAAGTGCTGGGATTACAGGCGTGAGCAATTGCACCCGGCCAAGAGGGGTTCTTAAAATGAACATTCAGATCACAGAATATTTATATGTCAAACTGTGGACCTAATCCATCTTCCGCTCACCTGATATGTTGTCCTGCTTCCGCCGATGAAGTCTAATAACCTTCCCCCTGCTCATTCCCCTAAAGAGGGAAAATAAACTTAAAGTAGTCCTTTCAACAGCATGCATCACATCATAGCACACATGGGCGAAGTGTCTCTGCATATGCTACCCCCTCCCTCCCACCTACCAAATGTTTCCAGGACATTAAATTTCATATCAAATTCAATAGCTTTAACATCAATCTCTCATTCCTTGTTGTCAGCAATTCTCACCTAGTGCAGAGAATTCGAGCCAAGGAGCACTAAGGAATCATCTACATTAACAAACACAAGAAAGAATACTTTGAGCTTTTCCCTACTTGTAAGAAACCCTAATCCCAGCAACCCAGACTTAAATTTAGATGGAACAGGATCTTACCTGCACTTGTCACAGTTGAGAAGGAAGCCATCCTGAGAAAGACCACAAGGACACCAGGTAGGTACAGTCTCTCCTTCAGAGTTCGGGCTGTCTCCACAGCGTTCCTCTACGGGCGACGGCAGGCCATTCAGGTCAGAACGAGGGATGATCGTCTGGACAGGGGGAGAAGCAGGAGGTGTCGGAGGAGGAGGGGCTCCGTAATTATGATCCTGAAAATAAGATTTTTTAAATCAACAGTGTCCAAACACTGGCCCCTCTCTCCCCTAAAGTATGGTACATATGGAAAGAAAGAAGAAAGTAGTACCCTTCGTTTTTTGGCTTCAACCAGGAAAGTGATAAAACAAAATGCCAAGGTCAACTGGGACATAAAAACAAGAACAATGATGCAGGGCTAGACGTCCGCTGGAGTCAGGGAAGTGCAAAAGGGGCAACTTCGTCATGCTGCATATAAACATTTCAAGAAAGTCACAATGTATAAGAATGGATTACACTCCAGGAAGATCACTGTTCTGGAGAGAAACAAATGCATACTCACAGCATAAGGCAGTCCTCGACACCCATGCCTCTGAGTGGTCCCATAATTATGAGTGGAATACACGCTCTTCTCATTAACTGCTGGACTAGCCTCCACAGATTCAGGGCTGCACAAAGGCGAAAAGCAATGCATGATAGCATAACACCTAATCTTCCCTTAAACTAACACTTCATTTCCCATTCTAACCCCTCCTCTTTCCACAACCACTAGCCACTAGGATAAGAGAAAGAACTCAGTGAAACAATCTTATTAACATAACTAAGCCTATAAATAACAGTAGGAGTGTTATTAAATGTGGATTTGTGTGAAGCCAGTACAGGCAGATGTCTGAAGGCAGGCACCTGAGATACAAGGTGTCCCTAATGACAAACACAAACGTACCAGCTGAGCGGGGAGTTTCCCCTAGAGAAGCCACTCTGGGCTGGTTTAGACTCAGAACTATTCTTCTTAATTGGATCTCTTAATACTTCCATGAAACCTCACATGACATTTGCAGTGAGTGAGATGATGAAAGTGCCTTCTGCACTGCCCCAGGGACCAGGCCCTCTTCCATTCACTACCAAGACAGGATACCCTGAAGAAAGTACAGGTAAAAACAATGGCATCTTATATTTATCATACCTCTCATCTTGACGAACCCCCAACACCTTTCAAATATTAGAGTAATAATTTCTCATCCACCAATGACATGCAAGCATATTAAGGACAAAATTATTTATCAGCTGCATGATAATACCATAGAACTTCAAAATAAAAACTAAACTGGAAAGTTATGTTAGTCTAGTGACAAATAATAACAACAGTAATGGCCACCATTGTGAACTGCCCATTATTTGTTAGGTGCTTGATATATCTATTAATTCAATTTCAGCAACCACTAAACATGGTATATACCCCATTTTTACAGAGGGGGAAGATGTGGTGGTGAGATTACATGACTTCCCCAAGGTTACATATTGACACAGCTAAGATTTGAAACAAAGTCTGTCTGACTCTAAAGTCTATGCTCTTTCCGCTACAGAAACAAGGATGACATTTAGTCCTTTAAAGAAAATTATTTGAGACCTTTATTAACCAGGCTTAGTGAGAAGCTTGGTTTAGTATCTTTTTGTACCCTTTGTGAGTAGAAAATAAACTATTCAAGCACAATGTATTATTGTAGAATTATACATGTATTCAAACTTAGAAAATTAACATAAGCCTTTACAATAAAAAGGCTTTGATGGCAAAGGATAAAATTCAGGTTTATGGGAAGCAAGAACTTCAACTTTGATTGTTACCTGGTTAGGTTTTAGGGAATACTGAAGGATAATTCAAAAATATAAAGTTTGTACAGCTTTGCAGAATAGAATAGTAATTTGTAATTTATATTAATTAGAACACAGATTCACAAATTAGAAACTCAGATGATTTGGTATAACACAAACTTAGAGATTAACGGGTCTTTCAGGGAGTCAAATAATGCATATTGTTTGCTTGAAATAACAGACATTTTTTCCTGCTTAGAGATATACAATATATAGTATGGCAGGAATAAGTGTGCAGTTCAATGTGGTGCAATGTCAATTGAGAAGTGAGGGATCAAAGAAAATTCTGAGATGTGTATCCAACTCACCCAGTTATATGCTCCAAAACTGTGAGAAGGGATCTTATTAATAACAGCAAAGGAAATTTCTAGGTGAAGAAGAACTTTAGACAGAGGAAAGTATTCTCTGTTAGTGAGGTGCATGCATTTTATTACTTAAAAGTGTCTGCAAAATGGGAACAGGGGGAGGGGTACATCAAGAATGCAGGTCAGTATTCTTGAGAAAAAGATGATCTGAACATGGCTCACTGAGAGGCAATCATCTCTGAGTATTAGGAAACAGGTGGGGTTTCCTAAATGAAACCAAAGGCAGACAAGCAATAATAAAATGAAGGTATAATTTAGTTTCTATGATGGACAGTTAAAAGAAAGTAATAAATTTATACAACATTGTTAATTTACTAGGTACATTATTAAACAAGTATTCCAAAAGCTGTATATATTTTATATAGATTTTGTACCACTGAACACATGGAGTGAAACATGATAGCTGTTTATTAGGAATGGATTTTTTTTGGGGGGTGGGGACAGGAAAAAGGAAAGTTGCATGAAATCAAAGATGGCCATGGAGATGGAGCTATGCTGGTTGTATCTTACCCATCTCCAAACGGGTAAATATGAACATATGCACTTCATGTGCAAGTCTAGGGAATAAAAATAAAATGTATATTGTGGAGGTTAAAAGGCCATCGTATTGCACAATACTTTCTAGTTAAGCACAGCATTGAATATATTGCTGTGCATGCCAAATCTAAAATTTAAACTCTTCTGATGAAGAAACTCTGCAATTTCCATATTGGTTATTGATTAAATACATAGTTAGACATTGACAGGTAACTATAAGATTTCCTAAAACATTCCTTGATATATATACTAGTTTTTATATTTAAAAATATGAATTAAAAATTTGGAATGGAATTACATCTCTTTAGCAGGCAAATACTTTATGCAAATCTAATTACAGCCTTTCTTCTCCTATCACTGAATTGGACACATACACAGAAACCAGGCTCACAACAGATACACTCCATCAACTGTGTTCTAAGTACAACATGCAACCCAGTTGCTATCATGCCATTTCTTGGAAAATGCCTGAAATTCTGTAATGGCAGAATTGGAAATTCAGAAAAATCTTTGCTTCACTTGTTACATCTACAAAATTTCCTACAAACACACACAAAAATAAATGCATATTGCATATAGTTGCCATCGGATTTAAAATCCTATGAAGTCTAGGTCTAGTGGAGTATGCTGCACTTAATACCAGGTTTAATCTTAAAGTGCCCAGGACAGTGAAATAGGCACGATGAAACATTAATAAACATTAATAATTTAACAGAATGGTACGTAGCTAGTCATTGACATTCTTTCCCTTTGTAGAAATGTGTAACTATGTAGCCAGTTACGACTACAGTATCAGAAATCTGTCTGGAGATCATGAATTAAAATGTTTCAGGAAATCCTAGAATACGCTGGTGTTAACAGAGACAGTGCAGTCACATTTGTAGACCAGAAGTATTTTTATTTCTGAAATTACTCCTGGACTCCCTAGCAGTATTTGCAGGCAGTCATGTCTATACTTTGGGGAAAACACCAATTGTAAGATTAATAACTGCTCTGGGTCTTTTATCTACTAATTCCAAACTTACTGGTTTAACCTCTTTGTTGAAATTTCTCACAAATGTTAATGCTATCTATCTACATAGTTAGACAATCTACATAGCACCAGGTTAGTAGCCGACTTTATAAAAACCTATAAACACAATACAACTGGGCTACCTACTAATGCAGGAAGAGTTTTAAGTACTTTATTTGGGAAAAGAGTTGTAAAATGGTAAGTCTCAGTTACTGATATAACTAAATACCTTTTGCATGCGAAAAAACCCAAACCAAACCAAAACAAAAAAAACAAAAGAAGAAAAAAGCTCTAGAAGAAACAAAATCAACCCTTCCCCACTCCCAACCCTCCTTTCTCCTTTTTATATGGGAAAAAGCCCAAACGCTGCTTTCCATTTTAGACTACCCCAGAATATTATATACTCTTTCTCAGGGTAGCTTTAAGTCTTCCTCTTTAAGGAACTCAGTCAACAGGTAAGTTATATTAGGTGGCTTTATGAAGAAATATACACAATCTTTAATAATATTGTTTTAAGGAAGAAAACCACTATTAATCAGGGTTGCCATTCAACCCAGAAATCTGGTACAGTTGCTTTGCTTTGCTGAAGGGGGACGCATCCCCGGGGACTGTGAAAATGGCAAGAGAAACAGGGGAATTAGAGCAACACCCACCTCACTCAAGAAGTGGCTGTGGGATCAAGAGTCTGAACTGGACCTGAACATATTCAAAACACCAGGATTTTTCCAGCCCAGACCCTAATCCCTGGTACTGCCTGGAATAGACTTGGCTTCTGGGGGTGTGCTGCCCCCTAGGCCCCTTGGGTCTCTTTCGCTGGACTTTCACATCCTGGTGTAGTGCCACTTCGTCTTGAAAGGTAGGGGGCTTCCACTTCCTTTCTGTAAGCAAGGAAGATTGGGTACAAGGGAGGTAAAAGGACAACAGGGGGAATCTGTGAGCAGGGGGAATCTTGGACAACTTAAAAGAGAAGGGATACAAAAGACTAAAAATTTAAAAACTGTGAATAATATATATAAAAGTTGTATAATGAAGGCCTACCTTCATTGTCATTTGGCATTTACATTCTTCAAGAATTGAGAGTATAATTTTAGGGATTGGGCCTTTGGACAAACTCTGAATTCCTAAAGCTGCTCTTAGCTGAAAAGAAAGTTTGGTACCACTGATTTTGAAGGTCCTCTTTCTAGGCAATGAATATTATAAAAATAAACAGATGACACTGCTCTCCATGTTTTCTACCCCAGATGTCAGAAGGTCTAGGCAACCTGCCCATATAGTTTCGACCCCTTTACTCTAGAACAATGGGAAGTACATAGGAAGAGGACTTCAAGGAAAATCAGTTGGAAAGAACACCTTATCTCCCTCCATCAGAATAATCATTAACTCTACAGAAGCAGGTAGTAATACCTACTTTATTCTAATTTTCCCCACCCATTAAAATAAATGAAAATGAATTCCTACTTTGCAACTTTGGTTCTATTAATTATTTGCCCAGAAATACCCCTCTGAAAACTCTTCCTTCCCTTCTAATTCCTTTTTTCCTCCAGCTTCAATAGGGGTAAAGGGAAAGGTCTAATGTTAATTTTAGTGGGACAGGATCTGGTTAAGAAAATACTACATATTATCTTATTAGCTATCCATAAGAAAGTTGTCTCCACAGACTGGTAATTTACCTACGACCTAGAAAGTAGCACTTACTCTGATCCAGCAGCCATATCTGAGTAGGATGTATCTGGTGTGGTGACTCCCAGAGGGATTGCAATGCTCATGACGTCCAACACAGCAGAGATTGGAAATCACGAGGTCCAATTAATGGAGACTGACCACTCTGAGAGTGGGGGTGAGCTGCAGAGCATCATCCAACATGTTATGGACATGAGGAATCCTACAATAGAAAAGGAAAATATCTAGTAAAATAAATACCTAGTTATCAGATAGTTCTTTAAGTTTATCTTAAACGCTACTGAATATTTTTCTGCATTCTTGAACAAGGCTTGTAAGGGATAATTATAAAATAAATACAGCCACAGTGTCCCATGTTTACCATGCATTTCATTAATGTTTCACAAAGTAGGGGGCAAAAAGTTATGCTTACTTTTTTTTTCCTTTTCAGTTGAAGGGAAAGGAAGAGTCTGCCCATCTCACTAACCAATGCTTTCTCCCCATTCTAAAACTGCCCAAACAAAATTTTCTGGCAGTCTAGGATCTAGCAAACAAGTTTTAAGATAAAGGATGGTTATTAGAAATATCCTAGTTTACCTAAACTCTTTAAAAATTCAAGATCTTCATTTTTTTCCCTAGGCCACAAATAAATGCAGTTTCACAAGCAGTCAATAATGTTATTTCTTCCAAATTAAAAGAGATCAATTGGTTGTTTATACTTGATTGGAAACAGCTGTTTCTTACTGCCTTCTTTTGTCACTGAACACTTTCTTCCTTCTTTTAAATCATCTTAACTATAATTTTGGGAGAAGATGCAATCATCTTAGCAACTTTATTTGTGGGGTAATAATATGCTGCTAGATATGAACAAAAATATAAACCAGGAGGAGGCTGTGCATGCGTGGGTGCAGAGGGTGTATGGGAAATCTCTGTATCTCCTGATGAATTTTCCTGTGAACCTAAAACTGCTCTAAAAAAGTCAATTGTTTTTTAAAAACAACGAAAAAAATCCTGAAATCACGAAGAGTACAGTTTCATGATAAAGACTAAAGAACTGTGTATGAAAAAGCAATGAGGATAGCTTGACATGGTGACCATAAACCAGTGAAATTTGGGAACAGAAAGACTCAGAAATCACTGAAGTAGAAAAAAAGCAAAAATAGATTAAGAGATTTGGAGGTATGGTGCAGAGGGAAACAAGTGTTCTTTGTGTGACTTTACATTAGTAGTTTTACAGTAGTGTAAAAAAACATCAAAAAGATGAAACAAAAAAGTATTTTATGTAGGGGGAATAAAGTCAATGTGAATGTCAAAGACCCATGTTTAACAAGGACTGTTGCAAAAAAGACTACAAAGTCATGACTGATGCACTGATTCATAATAAGACATTAGAACCATTATTAATACTAAAAAAGCTAAAGGAATTTAAAGTACATGATACCGACTGAATCAACCTAGAGGGTTAATGTAAATTTTATTTTTATTTTTTGAGACAGTTTCACTTTTGTTGCCCAGACTGAAGTGTAATGGTGCAATCTTGGCTCATTGCAACCTCTGCCTCCCGGTTTCAAGAGATTTTCCTGCCTCAGCTTCTCAAGTAGCTGAGACTACAGGTGCCCGCCACCATGTCTGGCTAATTTTTGTATGTTTAGTAGAGACAAAGTTTCACTATGTTGGCCAGGCATTCTCGAACTCCAGACCTCGGGTGATCCACCCACATCTCAGCCTCCCAAAGTGCTAGGATTATAGGTGTGAGCCACCGTGCCTGGCCGGTTAATGTAAATTTTAAATGATAGATGGTCTGAGATGCTCCAATCTTACTTTGATATACAAAGATTAATGCAAATAAAAAAAAATTGTGGGCTGGCTGCAGTGGTTCACAACTGTAATCCCAACACTTTAGGAGGCCGAGGTGGATCACTTGAGCCCAGGAATTTGAGACCAGCTGAGGCAACATAGTGAGACCCCATCTCTACAAAAATAGCAAAAAAATAAAAATCAGCCAGTCATGGTGATGTGCGCCTGTGGTCCCAGCTACTTGGGAGCTGAGGTGGGAGGATCACCTGAGCACAGGAGGTAGAGGCTGCGGTGAGCCATAGTCATGCACTGCACTCCAGCCTGGATGATGAAGTGAGACCTCTGGGTATGATAATACGCCTGTTCCTATACCCAATTGGAGGTGACATATAGCTGGGCTGGCAAATGACTGGGCCAGGCGAAGTGGCTCATTCCTGTCATTCCAGCACTTTGAGAGGCTGAGGCAGGTGGATTGCTTGAGCTTGGGAGTTGGAGACCAGCCTGGGAAACATGGTGAGATCCTGTCTCTACTAAAAATACAAAAATTACCTGGTGTGGGCCAGGTGCGGTGGCTGATATCTGTAATCCCAGCATTTTGGGAGGCCAAGGTGGGTGGATCACCTGAGGTCAGGAATTCAAGACCAGCCTGGCCAATGTGGTGAAACCCCTTCGCTACTAAAAACACAAAAATTAGCTGTAGTGGTGCACACCAGCAATCCCAGATACTGAGGAGGCTGGGGCAGGAGAATCACTTGAACCCAGGAGGGGGAGGTTGCAGTGAGGTGAGATCACACCACTGCACTCCAGCTTGCATGTCAGAGTGAGACCCCATCTCAAAAAAAAAAAAAATATCTGGTGTGGTGGCATGCACTTGTAGCCCCAGCCACTCAGGAGGCTGAGGTGGGAGGATTGCTTGAGCCTGGAAGGTGGAGGTTGCAGTGAGCTGAGATCGTGCCAGTGCACTCAGCCCGGGCAACAAAGTGAGACCCTGTCGCCAAAAAAAAAAAAAAAAAAAAGAAAAAAAGAAAAAAGAAAACGTTTTTTGCCTTTAGGCCAGTCTTACACATGTATGTTTCCTTTCCCTAACAGTATATCCAAACAGAGACCTTGGCAGTACATCTTCTAAGCCTTTGGGAAACTGAAGTAAAATCTGTAAATGATAAAACAAGAACACTCATCAAGTAAACCCAAAAGACACAGTTAAATACTGGGGGCTGTTGGTTACAACTCTTTCTATTAGTATCACTGTATAATTCAGATTTTTAAAAAAGCCCCAAAACTGTCTGACCAGATAATCATAAGAAAGTCTGATTATCACCACACCTCCCCTGATCAGTAAAGGGAATCTGAATTGTGTTATATTTTCAGTAAAAGACTTAAACCAAAAACCGTACTCAACATCATTAAAAACCCTTTGTTGTAGCCATTACTATTGTATACCCGTTTAAAAAATGCACGGTTTAATGGTGAAACCCCATCTCTACTAAAAACAAAAATTAGCTGAGCATGTTGGCACATGCCTATGATCCCAGCTACTTGGGAGGCTGAGGCACAAGAATCGTTTGAACCTGGGAAGCAGAGATTGCAGTGAGCTGAGACGGGGTCACTGCACTCCAGCCTGAGCAAAAGTGAGACTCTGTCTCCAAAAAAAAAAAAAAAAAAAAAAAAAGTACAGTTTCCAGATAAAAGACAAGTTATAAACCCAAGATGATAGTTGATATTTTTCCTAGAGCAATTTTTAAAAGATATACTAAAAGGAAAAGATGGAAAAGTTCCTTCAGATAACATCTTAATGAGTGAATAAATGATTGCTACACCAACACAGCTATTTTGGATAGCTGATAAGTAACTTTAAGAAACATTAAGTCAGCCGGGCGCAGTGGCTCACGCCTGTAATCCCAACACTTTGGGAGGCTGAGGTGGGCGGATCACCTGAGGTGAGGAGTTTAAGACCAGCCTGGCTAACACAGTGAAACCCAGTCTCTACTAAAAATACAAAAAAATTAGCCGGGCATGATGGCAGGCGCCAGTAATCCCAGCTATTTGGGAGGCTGAGGCAGGAGAATCTCTTGAACCCAGGAACCAGACGTTGCAGTGAGTCGAGACCACGCCATTGCACTTCAACATGGGCAACAATAATGAAACTCCGTCTCAAAAAAAAAATAAAAAATTAAGTCGGTAACTATAAATTTCTATTTCATAAAAAATATTCCTTTTTCCTCGTGTCTAGTTTAACATGACTGCTTCATTCTTCTGATGAAAGCAACTATAATAGGTTAGCATGACCATCTCATTCTAACTAATGCTTTAATAATAAGGCTTCTTAATTCAAATTCTGTTAATAATCCCAAATTTCTCAAATATTACCCTAAGAATAGTTCCTTCCCTAAGTAACTCTCTGTAAAATGTCACTATTAAAATGTTAACTGAGGAACATTTAACAGATCATCCAAATGCAGTATTTTCTTATTATAATTTGTTTTTTCCTACCAGAATATAAACTCTAAGAGGACAGGGATTTTTATCCACTGCTGTAGTTCCAATGGCCACAACAGTAACTGACACATAAAGAAGTTCAAGAAATATTTGCCAAGTAAATTATAATCACCATTTACTACAACATGATTCCAGCAGTCATTAAAATGCAAAAAATAAAACAGAAATTAAAAGGATTTACTTGGGTCAGTCACCTTTATATAGACTTCTGAATATGAAGTCCCCCCAAATTATCTGCTAGTAGTTCTGAAGACCTAGAAAAAGTTGAGACACAAATTAGTATAGAAAGAAATAACATTGATCAACACACAGAATGGAATTCTACAGCTATATTAACAATTTTGTTTCTGTATACTATCTTGCTTACCATCCTACATCTATACTATCTTGTTTACCACCCTACGTCCATCCAGCACTGAATTTTTTGCCTTTTAATCTTTTATTTTTCCATAAAGCCAGAAACGAGAGGGTAGGGAAGGAAATTATTTGACATAAATGGTAAATACTTCTGTCACTGGCTAATTCTTCCCCTTCCTTCAAATTAGAATTCTCTCTCATTTTCCAAGGGACTCCTTCTTTTTCTCTCTCCTAAGAGGTGATTCCCTTCTCCACTGAACAGTTATCAAATTCAGAGATCTTTCTTTAACCCGATGTCCGATAGCTGTCCAGCCAGACAAGGGCCCATCATCACCCATTAAATTACAAGTCCATATTTATTACTCCTTTCTTTCCCTTCATTCCACATCATCTAGTTTCTTGTCCTACTATAAAAAATAATGATAAAAGGGAGTCATTTCTATGTGTGGTCAAATGGAAACATGCTTTAAAAATGGGGCTTAATTTTCTACCTTCCAAAAAGAAAGGTAAAATAGGTGATCCAGGACTTTGGGGGGGGAAATGATCAGTATCCTTTAAGTCTCTGGTGTTTTTTCCAAAAAGTCAAATTTAACACTGGCCAGAGTTATTAACAGCTTAAAGATTAACATATCATAAACATGAAAAGAGTTGTTCATAGGATTCCAGTTACCAAGCATTAGAACACAAGCATTTTATTTACGTTGATGTTTTATGATTTCTAATTAAAAAAAACTGGAAAATAAGCTATTTTTTAGAAACAATTTAAAATAGTATACTCAGAATTAGAGAAAGAAAAAGTATCAAAGTAACAGTAAAAGGAAGGAAGAAATAAAGTAAATCAAGGGAGAAGCAATAGCAAGTAAGAAAGAAAAAAGGAAAGGAGGAAAAGACAGAAATAGATGTGAGTGTATAGTATGGGGAAAATGCATCACAATTTCAAATTCTTATTAACTATTTCCCCAACAATCCATCAGAAACCACAGGAACACTAGGTAAGTTCTCGGATTCAGAAACAGACACAGCCTGTACCTTCCAGTAGTACCGAGTACTCTCTTTAGGAGGTGCCATTTACATACAGTTTCTAGGGGAAAGGATGTTAGATAGAACATGCCAGAAATGTTTCTTAATGACCCCATCTTTTAAATTGGGTTCAGAAATGGCCAACAGTCTCTATATCACCATCCTGACAGTCTCTTCTCTATATGACTTGCTGAAAGCACAAGACCTGTATGATCTCCCTGGTCACTCACAGAGAAGACAAACAAAAAGTGTTTTATGAACAATTCCAACAGAGATTTCAGAAGAAGAAATTGCATCAGACAGGTGAGGCGGAAGCAGCTGGGAGACAAGAGTCCAATAAACAACCAATCCAATGAAAGAAATTCAGAACAAGTCTGCTTCAGTAATCCTGAGAAGAGGACTGGCAGGAAGAGGAGTGCCGCTTCAGAAAGAGAACAGGCCTCATATGCTTCAGACAGTCTTTGTACTGAGGCTGTGGACCTTGGCCATTCTCCCAGAAATGATGCAATCCTGATGAACAAGATCTGCTGCCAGAGAAACAATTGTTAACAGCCTATGCAGACAGCAACTCAGCCAAGGAGCAATCTCTGATCAACTCACTCCATAAACCAACAGAACGCCAAATCTCTCTTCCTCAATTTCAGTGTCTGACAAAACATAAGTGAACACAGTATATATTCAGATACATAAGAACAAGCCATTTTCTCAAAGTGTCCTTTTTCTTTTAATTTCTTTGGCTGTACAATATCCATTATTACATTTTTAGATAAAATATTGAACATTTTTTACTTTTATAAATACAATTATCCAAGCATATCAACGTAATAACATAAATATGAAGATGTATACTTATTTTCCTCATTCTCATAAGAAAACCTTTTTGGGAGGTAGTGGCTTCCCTAAGCATAAAAATTGCTCTGAAATCTATCATCCAGCTATAATATTTCAAGTAAAGACAAATATACACATATTCTAATTCAGAGACAGAAAGTATATTTCATAGATATTTTTGAAGTTAGATAAAAATCAATGTTAAATATTGGCATCTATTAGAGAAAAGAGAAAATCTAATCTTGCTTAGGCTGACATACAAGGTAGACTAAGCAGTATCATCTCACAATAATAGTACTTATAACAATCACTTTTTTGAAGGGCAAAAATATTACTTCAGATCTTACTAAAGGATCAGATTATTTTAATCTTATTAGCCACAATATACTAATTTAGAAACTAACTTAAAAATATCCTCAATTTAATAATCTTCTCTAGACTTCTCATCTCCTAGGCCTGGTTTCTTTTTCAGAAGTTTTGGTATCAGGTTTTTCACACAGTATTATAAAATTATAAAAAGTTGTTTTTTCTCACTAAATAAATAAAAGATCCTGTATAAAGCAGTTCTCTAAACTTCAACTAGCCAAAAGTCGTAACTAACCAAATTTCTTCCTTTTGAAAGCAATAACCCTTAAACTGGGATTCATGAAAAAACACAAATATCTAAGATATATCCTGAAATAAATCTATTCAGCCCAATCTACTACTTCTATATACTACTAAATAACAAAAATGAACAGATACACAGAATAGCTCTAAAGCACTAAAAATACTTTAATAGGTCAATAAATGAAAAAATTTAACTCGGGAAGAGAAAAACACTTTTTGGGACTATTTCAAAAGGGTTAAAGTAGCTAATAATTTTTTAAAAATCCAATTTCTGAACTTGACTATTCAAAATTTTATTACATATAGGCTGAATTTCTTCTTAAATACATCTATAGTTCTTTCATTTATCTTTTGAATGACTTTACAAAATAGTAAAAAGGGGAAATGGGGAAAGAATATTGGGTTTTCTGGTATGATGATTTTTACTCTCCACATAATTTTTAAATCACAGAACAGTCCAGAATACAATAAATATATGACTGCTTATCTACATGACCAACTTTTATGAGAATGAATGTGGCAACTGCATTATATACTTATCTTCATCTTCATCTCAAAGTCAAATATCTCAAGTAAAATCACTGTAGCTGTATCATGACAAACAGCCTTTTACCTTAGGAGAAGAAAAGTATGCTAGGAAAAAGCACTATTAGAGGCTGGGTGCAGTGGCTCACATCTGTAATCCTAGCACTTTGGGAGGCTGAGGCAGGAGGATCGCTTGAACCCAGGAGTTCAAGACCAGCCTGGGCAACATAGTGAGACCCATCTCCTAAAAAAAAGAAAAAAAGACAAGGAAAAAAAGGCACTATAATAGGAGTTAGGAGACTTGAGTTCTAGTCTACAACATAATTAGTGACCTCAGAAAAATCACTTTACATAGATGATCCCTAAATTCCTCAAAGTAAAATCTTCATTGTGTGTCTTCCTGCTCCAGATTTCTATGAATCCTGGCACTGCTGCCAACTAGCTTAGGAAATTCACAGAATGTCTCACAGTCTCAGTTTTCTCATCTGTACCAAAAAAAAAAAAAAAAAAAACCAAGAAAAAAAACCCCCCTCCCCAAAAAAAAACCCCAAAAAACCAAAAAACACAAAAACAAAAACAAAAACAAAAACAACAAAAAAACCTGTTGTGCTGACCCGTAGGCACACATGGACTAGCATTTGTAGCAACTAAGAGCTTAAATAACTTTCTGGTCCCTTTGAGTATACGTGAAGAAAGAGGAGCTGCTGCTAATAACCGGAATATGGCTAAACACTGTTTTTATTCTTCTCCAAAAGCATGTATTTCAAGTTTGCTACAGCAGATAATGTGGAAAGAAAAAATGTGAGAAACATGAAAAAAAAAAAAAAAAAGAGAGAGAAGTATGAAGCATTAGAAGAAACAAATATGAGTTACTGGAAAACAAAGAGATGAACTCTAAAAGAGCACTCAGAGATAAAGTGAAAAGTTTATGTATTTGGAACAGTATACATTAGGCTTATAATCTGAAGCAAATTAATGCAAGCAAAGAATTTAGGGGTTGAGGACTGAAGGGAAAAAAGAAAAGAGAGAAACACTGATTGGGATAAGCACTGGAGACAGGAAACACCATGATTTAGTAATTTAAAGCAAAAATAAAAATTTCCTTTTCCCCAATTTCTTCTACAATACCAGTTTATTCCTTTGCCTAAATTTACACTCACTCTAGGAGCTACTGAGCTTGGCATAATAAACTGATGTCTATAAGAAATCTAAGTTTACTAGAATAAAAGGCCATTAAAAGACAACTTAAAAAAATCCTACTTTAGTCTATATTAAGAATTTCCTTCTCCATAAAAGAGTATTATAGAGACCAAGTCATACTTAGTAGTATGTGCAGCAGAAGAAGGGAGTGGCAGCAGGATAAGATTACATACCAAAAATGATATTATTATCTAAATATTATGACTGTAAATTAACGCTGAAGAAAAAGAAATATTTTTATGTACAACCCATTTAACAATGATAAAAAGGTATTTACTGTTAAACTAACCAACAATACACAGACTCTTTGTAACCTTAACAAGAATCAGGAAGATTTTAGACTTCTAAGTACCAAATAAAATGATGCCCTCAAATAATTTAGACTGACTAAACCTCTTTAAAGAGTTATACTCTCAATACTTTCTGAAGGTTCTGTCCTACTGTGTTCTTAGGCTTAGAATATGTGTGAGACCAACGTACCAAACTAGAGTAGGAAAAGAACTTCTCGTATCTCTACATGTGCCTCCTCTGTGAATTCAGATCTTCTTCATTTTCAAACCCCAAAACGGGAGCCACTTTTACTTACTATAGATGAGGTGGGTTGTGCACACTTATGAGCCATTAATATCTGTATTTTCACTTTCATTAATTTAGGCAAAATTTCTCCAACCGATGAAGAAACAGAAATGAAGAAACAGAGCTACAAAAAGATTAGCTTGTATGAAGTCTACTACACACCTACAGTAGTAGAGTTCAGAGGAAAGAAAATTAAGATTTTCATGTATAGCTTCTGTCTATTATAGTAATTACTACTCACCTTAGATAGCAACATCTGAGTTATAATTGTTTTTTATTTTTATTTTTGAGACAGGGTCTGTCACCCAGGTTGGAGTGCTCTGGTGCAATCACAGCTCACTGCAGCCTCAACCTCCTGGGCTCAAGCGATCCTTTCACCTTAGCCTCCCAAGTAGCTGGGACCACAGACACATACTGCCATGCCCAGCCTTGTTTTTATTAAGTACCAGTTGGTGCTATGTTAGACAATTAGGTCTAGACAAAATTCCTGGCTGTCTTGGGATTTATATTATGTAGATTTGCTACTTTTTCATTCATTCATTCATTCATTCATTCATTCATTCATTCATTCAACAAACATGAAGTAACTACTATTAATACACATATATATATAAATATAAACTATAAGTGCTATTTTAAGAGGTTTATTTTATCCAATGTAGAAAAGGGTAGGCAACTTGCAAAGTGTTTAGGTTTGCCTATGTGCCAAGTATTGCATTTATACAACCATGAAGGGGGAAAAAAATCCTGTAAGTGGGCTGGGCGCGGTGGCTCATGCCTGCAATCCCAGCACTTTGGGAGGCCGAGGCGGGGGGATCACCTGAGGTCAGGAGTTTGAAACCAGCCTGACCAACATGGTGAAATCCTGTCTCTACTAAAAATATAAAACAAGCTGGGTGTGGTGGCGCATGCCTCTAATCCCAGCTACTAGGGAGGCTGAGGCAGGAGAATCGCTTAAACCCAGGAGGTGGAGGAGGTTGCAGTGAGCCGAGATCACACCACTGCACTCCAGCCTGGGCAATAACAACAAAACTCTGTCTCAAAAAACAAACAAACAAACAAACAAACAAACAAATCCAGAAAGTGTGTCTTTAACAATTAATGAGTCAAACTCTGAAGGAAAACACCACCCTTGCCTGAATGGAAGAAATCCCTAACCCATTCCATAGTTTACCAGTGAAGGAGTCTCTTACAGAAATAAATTCTTGGGGTTGGGCGTGGTGGCTCAAGCCTGTAATCCCAGCACTTTGGGAGGCCAAGGTGGATGGATCACGAGGTCAGGAGATCGAGACCATCCTGGCTAACACGGTGAAACCCCTTCTCTACTAAAAAATACAAAAAACTAGGCAGGTGAGGTGGCGGGCGCCTGTAGTCCCAGCTACTCGGGAGGCTGAGGCAGGAGAATGGCGTGAACCCGGGAGGCGGAGCTTGTAGTGAGCTGAGATCCGGCCACTGCACTCCAGCCTGGGCCACAGAGCGAGACTCTGTCTCAAAAAAAAAAAAAAAAAAAAAAGAGAAATAAATTCTTTTACAAATCCCTTTTAAATTAGCTTAGACAAAGCTTATCACTGATTGGTCTCAAGGAAAATACTATGAAAAATGAAGGCCAATGGGCAGCAAGAATCCTCAAAGTACAGAAAAAAAAAAAAGTACTGACTACACATGTTCTGTGATCATGTGGCAAACCATGTAGCTAAGTATACAGCAGGAAAAGAACTTAAAGCTTGGCCCAGCCCAGCGGCTCATGCCTGTAATCCCAGCACTTTGGGAGGCCAAGGCAGGTGGATTACTTGAGGCCAGGAGTTCGAGACCAGTCTGGCCAACATGGCAGAACAGTCACTACGGGAAAAAGAAAAAAAAACCAGCCAGGCATGGTGGTGCACACCTGTAATCCCAACTACTTATGAGGCTGAGGCACGAGAATTGCTTGACACTGGGAGGCGGAGACTGCAGTGAGCTGAGATCGCGCCACTGCCCTCCAGCCTTGGTGACAGAGCGAGACTCTGTCTCAGAAAAATCAGTATCAACAACAACTTACAGTTTAATAGTTCTAATATGCACAATAGGGTTCCCCTCCCCCATGAATGACTGTATCAATACAAATAATGCCTGGAAAAATATGCAAATATTACAAAAGCATAAAAAGTAGAAGTTAAATTCTCATGTAAGTGATAACCCTACTGCTCTGTAAACTGCTTTTTAAAATTCAGCAGTTAAATTTTAGATATGTTTCTATAAGTATGTACAAAATCACTAATTCCTCTTAAGCAAGTATTCTAGTCTATGCATCTACTATAATTTAAACCAGTCCTCTGCAGGTGGATGTTTATCATTGTTGCTGCTTTTCCATAACATATGCAATGCTGTGTTGAATGATCATGTACTTATACCCTTCTTTAGACACATGCACAAATATTTCCTTGGGACAAATTCCTAGAAATGAAACTGCTAGAATGGCATGGGCATATTTATTAGTGACGACAAACCACCCTCCATAAAGTTAAAACCATTTTACATTTCCACAAACATTTAGGTTCTTGATAAACATGGTAGAAGACTAAATTTCCTTAAATAATTTCCTTAAAAGAATTTTTCTTTTTTTCTTTCTTTTTTTTTTTGAGATGGTGTCTTACTCTAACGCCCAGCTGGAATGAAATGGTATGACCATGGCTCACTGCAGCCTCAACCTCTCAGGCTCAAGGGATCCTCCCATGTCAACCTCCTGAGTAGTTGAGACTACAGGTGCATACCACCACTCCCGGCTAATTTTTAAAATTTTTTGTAGTGACTGGGGTCTCACTATGTTGCCAGCGATGGTCTCAAACTTCTGGGCTCTAAGCAGTCCTCCTGCCTGGGTCTCCCAAAGTGCTGGGATTACAGGCGTGAGTACCATGCCCCGTCTTAAAATAACTTCAATTCTCACTTTCCTCATACAGTCTTTTCCATAGAAGATTCTCTACATTCTAAAAGAAAACCCTAGGGCTGGGCACGGTTGCTCACGCCTGTAGTCCCAGCACTTTGGGGGGCTGAGGCGGATGGCTCATTCGAGGTCAGGAGTTCGAGACCAGCCTGGTCTACATGGTGAAATCCCGTCTCTATTAAAAACACAAAAATCAGCCAGGTGTGGTGGTGGTCACCTGTAATCCCAGCTACTTGGGAGGCTGAGGCAGGAGAACCGCTTGAAGCCGGGAGGTGGAGGTTGCAGTGAGCCAAGATTACGCCACAGAACTCCAGAAACCCTAAAATGAAAGTTATCTGCAAATTCCCAATGTTTATGTATGTGATTCACTTTTTTTTTTTTTTTGAGATGGAGTTTCGCTCTTGTTACTCAGGTTGGTGTGCGATGGCGTGATCTTGGCTTACTGTAACCTCTGCCTCCCGGGTTCAAGGAATTCTCCTGTCTCAGCCTCTTGAGTAGTTGGGATTACAGGTGTCCACTACCACA